CAAAAAGGGCTTCTTTCAGCATGTAAATAGGAAGAGGAAGGGGAGACAAGTGCTGGGACCACTAAATAAGGAGGAAGGAGATCCAGTGACTGATATGAGGGAACAGGCACAGATGCTAAATGACTATTTTGCCTCTGTGTTCTCCCCAAAGCGGGACAGGGGATATCCGCATAGGAGATTCGATGAGGCTGCGGACTTAGGGCCACAGATTAAGTCACCCCCCTTGAAGTCGAGGGGCTCCTCAGGGCATTGGACATTACAAAGGCACCAGGCCCTGATGGGTTACATCCGAGAGTACTTAAGAGTTGGCAGGGTTTCTCTCACACCCACTGGCCTCCATTTTTGAGAACTTGTGGAGAACGGGTGAAGTTCCAGAGGACTAGAGGGTGGTCTCAATGGTCCAATTTTTCAAAAAGGGTAGTAGAAGGGACATGGGGAATTACGGACCTGTTAGCCTTACGTCCATTGTAGGGAAAACAATGGAAAGGCTCATAATAGAGAGAGATCTAGTGATGCTGGATAGGGAAGGGAGGCTGACAGCCACACAACACGGCTTCCGCAAAAACATGTCCTGCCAGACAAACCTTGTGAAATTCTGTTTCGAGATGGCTAGATGGAGGGGATACAGTGGATGAGGTTTGCCTGGATTTGAGCAAGGCCTTTGACAAAGTGCCCCATGATATCCTGGTAGAGAAACTGAGGAGTTTTGGGATACACCAAAGCACTGTCCGGTGGATTAGTGCATGGTTGACTGACCGAAAGCAGAAGGTAACCATTAGCAGGGAATCATCAGGATGGCGGCCAGTGACAAGTGGGGTCCCCCAGGGCTCTGTCCTGGGGCCGATCCTGTTTAATCTTTTCATTAATGACATGGAAGAAGGGGTGAACAGTCTGCTGATCAAATTCGCAGACGACACTAAAACTGGAGCAGTGGCCACAATTGAGGAGCAGGTACTGTAGATCCAAAAGGATCTGGACAGACTATGGAAGTGGGCAGGAGACAACAGGATGGCGTTCAATGTGGATAAGTGCAAGGTCTTGCACTTGGGGCATAGGAATAGCCGTCATAAGTACAGGTTAGGTGACAAGTGGCTGGAGAGCAGCACTTGTGAAAGGGACCTTGGGGTATTGGTTGACTGCAGGCTAAACATGAGTCAGCAGTGTGATGTGTGGTCAAGAGGGGGAACGCCACCCCTTGGTTGCATAGCCAGAAGTGTGGCTTCTAGATCAAGAGAGGTATTACTACCACTCTATGACTCTGGTGCGCCCACAACTGGAGCATTGTGTTCAGTTTTGGGCCCCTCGTTACAGAAAGGATATAGCCAGGTTAGAGTCAGTGCAGTGTAAGGCCACGAGGTTGGTGGCCGGCTTGCAGGGGATGGGGTATGAGACAAGACTGAGGGAACTGGGTCTCTTCAGCCTGGAGAAGAGGAGACTCCAAGGGGATCTGTTGGCGACATACAGGTATGTGAGGGGATGTCACATGGAGATGGGTAGAGACCTGTTCTCCCCTGCAGGGGAAGGCAGGACGCACTCCAACGGAGCAAAGCTCAGGGAGCCAAGGTTCCATTTGGATGCCAGGAAGCATTTCCTGACAGTTAAGACCCCGAGGGTGTGGAATGGGCTTTCACAAGAGGTCGTTGAGGCCCCATCGGTGCGGGTGTTCAAGGATAGGCTGGACGTCCACATGGTGGGCATGTCATGAGCGGAGCTGGCTGGTGCCGGAGGTCAGACTAGATGGCCCAGGAGACCCCTTCTGACTCGCTCTGTTTCTATGATATGGAAGTAAAGCACACACTTTGTAGGGATTCTGCAAACATTCATTGGCAAGGAGGGTAACCCCCACAAACCCAGCTCCTTGTATTTGAAAATATGAGGAACTTTTGACAGTCATTTTGTGTCATTTAAGTAGTTAACACATTAAACATTTCAAGGACACAGCTCTCTGAACTTGGAGGATTACAGGGATCTTGTGCAAGGTGGGAGGAGCATGAAGAAGAAGCCTCTGGGTTCCCCTCACCCTGCAAAGCAGGTGAACTGTTGATCTTGACTGTCTAAGTGCAGCAGTTTAGAGCATGGGGGAAGAAAGCTGGGGTGTGCCAGGATATGTTGCATCACAGCAGTGCTGGTCTCTTCCCCTCCTCACCCGCAGAAATGCTGATTAAATCCTTTTTTCTGTGACCTCAGAAAAACAGCTGGCATGGTTCTTTCCATGACAGCCATGATGGGCAGCTAGGGCGTTCCAAGTGTAGAGTCCCATCACCAGTATACAAGGTGAGACATCAAACAAATCCCATGGTCCTCTAGTTGCTGCCCAAGGGGCAATAGATTACTCTGAAAATGGGTGGCTTCTTTCCATGTAATCTTGAATATGCTTAAAAATAGGCACCTGAACCTTAATGCAAATCTTTCCCACTTTCCACTGATATATTTCCTTTCCCTCTTGACCAAAACTGAAAAGGATCCCTCTGTCTGCAATGTGAAGTCAATATTAAGTTAAGCAACACAGGTATGCATCAGAAGACACAACACCTTCAAGCTTTCTTCTCCTGAGCAAATATTTACATGCGGCGTTTAAGTACCATCCACTTCACCTCCAGAACAAAACAAAACAAAAAGAAAACAAAAGAAATAAAGAAATAAAAAGAATCAGTTGCCAATTTCAAAGTAAATCAAGTCGATATTCAAATTGTAAAATGCTGAGCCGATTGTTATGGGCAAGCGAACAGGCCAATAACAAGGACTGCAGTAAATCTATAGATGTATTAGATGTTGTGGAAACATCTAATTACTGAAACATACACAAAAGTTGAAACAGTCAATGAAAACTATGAGAGAAACAGAAAATCAATGTGCTCCACATCTTTCAGCTTTACTTTTATGCACACAACTGAAATATGGCTTCTGAGTTTGTGAGCTTCAGTGATTGCTGCTCAATTAATTCAGAGAGAAATTAACCAGTACATACATTGGCAAAGTCCTAATGAAATATTATTCCTTGCATGAAAAAGAAACACAAAAAGCAGCCTTAAGCTATCCCTACATAGTTATGGAAGAGAGAAAATAAAAATAACCCTTTTTCCCATGACTTGCAGATAGGCAGGGTTTAATGCATAACCATAGCTTAGCGTTATAGGAATATGCTGCTACAGTAGGCCTGTTTTAATAGCATGGCCTTGAGAAACAGATTGACTGATTGAAGCAAAAACTTCCAATCAATCAATCACAGCTTTCTTTGTCTTCTGAACCCAGATAGCCTGTGCTGTCAATTTATTTCTTTATTATATTACTATCTTCCCGTTCTTCCTTATTGGAATGCAAGGTGGCTTTAAAAAGCCTTCTTGTCCTCTTATCCTCATAACAACAATCCTGTGAGGTAGGTTGGGCTGAAAGACTCTGACTGGACCAAAGTCACCCAGTGAGCTTTGTAGCTAGCTTGGGACTCCTGGATCTCAGTCCAGTATGCTAACCACTATACTACACTGGCAGAATTTGTGGAAATAAGCCAGCTTTGAACCATAGTTTGTTCGTTAACCATAGTTAAGTGTAGCACAATTTAGGATCTCTCTGACATGTTTAAATAATTCAATAATTTAAAATGGAAAAGAAAGCTTCTGATCACCTGCTTACAACCATGCCCAAGGAAAGAAGGTAGGTAAGCCCAGAGGAAGGCTAGGCTTAACCTTAAAACACCAATCTGTAATTTAGCCTACATCCTAACTGTGACACACAATGGTCATACTGCATAAAAATCATGGGTCATCTAGGCTTGCCGCCTAATATCCCTCTAATATATTAATCCTTTACATTTTAAAAATGTAAAGAATATGTGCAAAGAGTATTCAGTAATCAACTTCCTATGGCCTTTCAGTGAGATGCATTTTAGTGAGATTTATTGTATTACTGAAATAGGTGACAAATGGGATGAACTTTGATCACTTAAAAATCTAAATCAGAATGATTTTTTCCCCTATCTGTCTGGTTCAAAACATGTTTATTTAGAAGTACATCACACGGAGGTTACTATAAAAATGGTTATCCCCTGCTTTCCCCCACAACAGCAAAAAGTCCTCAGAATAGCTTATAATAGAGCAGGCGCAGTGCAAATCACAACTTAAAACCTATACAATCCAATAAGAATTATAAAACTGCCCAAGCAGGAAAATAGCAGCAGAAATTGAATAATCATGAACCAGAGCAGGGCAAACAGATGAAAGGAGAATCAGATAAAGGCACAAGAAAAAGAAAAGATCTTTGCTTGTTGGCTGAGCAAAGGCACCAGAAAGTATCTCTCGAGGGAGGATGCTCCAAAAATGGATTTTGAAATAACACAGCTTAAAAAAGAAAAATCCTAATACCTTACTCATCCAGGGTAAACTAATCATGTGCTGGTCCCATATGAGGAAATGTTTTGCATTTGTGAACCATGTATTCCAAATTCAAGACCCCCATCCATAGATGGAATCAGTGGCTATCATTCTTCCACTGATTATTTCTGTCATTATAGTTGTTAGTTGTTCACCACTTAGTGTCATTTATTGCACACTCCTATTCATCTCTCTCAGAAGTTTGTGAGTCCTAACTCTCCAGCCATTTTTGAGGTTTTTTTAAAGCAAAGAAAGTCAACTATTTTCCTAGATGGAACCATTATTCTTTACAGAAGCCTAATATATTTTTGCTATTCTGCTCTTCATCACAAGGCCACCTTGTATTGTACAACAAAACCTACAGGAACATATAGAAAGGCAAAGAGCAAATACCCCAAGGGGAAAAAAAACTTTGTGTGAAGGAGACTATAATATTCTAGCAAAGAAAGTGAAAGAGGGTGTCTGGGCAAAACATCATATTGCAGTCCGAATTCCATAGCTGACTGCAAGATATTAGCCAAAATTGTTGTACTGCTTCAAATTACTGTTTGAAAGATACTATACAATATTTACAAATCTATAATTCACATTTGTCAACATCTTTTTAAAAAAAATATAGAAATTCTTGCCTACCCTTCCCAGAGTCAGTGTCCCTTGCTTGCATGTTTTGCAACGAACTCGAAGTTTTCCAGGTTTTACATCGTGGCAGAAACTTTTGCAGAACACATAAAAGCTGTTGTACCTAGCTCCACCTGTTGTAAGGAAAGAAAAAGCAGATCCTTTATTTGCAGCACTGACCTCAAATTTGGACTGTATATGTTTGCGTATATAGTAAGATTTCTGAAATAAACTGAAAAGCACATGCATAGCTGACTATGAAAAAAAAAAACCCTGAGTGGAAGTACTGTTGTTTAATACATCAAAAGATGGAGTACATTTTTATTTTGTGTACAGATGAAAAATCCCTGCCTTGTCCTGTATCAGTCTCTAGAGGCCTGGTCCACCAAAGCACCTCATTTTAGATTTGAGGATATTCAGGAAGAAATGAACCATATGGATTTAAGATAGTATACAGTTTATGGAATTTAATGATGAAATACAGATGCAGAATATAAAGAAGCAGAAGAAAGCTTTCACTCCCCTTTTTTATGGCCATACTGGTTTTCTGGATAGGCCAGGAGATACTCTGTGAGCCTTCAACGTTGCCTGGGCAAATGACACATCAATTCCTTTTTCCCAGTCAAGAACAAAAGACAACCCCTCTTGCCATGAATTTATAAAGTTCTTCTCCCCCGTTTCAGAAGCTGTCAGTACACCCAGGCTGTAGCCTACCTTTGTGGGAATCAGGGGAAGAATGAGGCTGTTTCAGTAAATCAAACAGTTTCAGTTCTCACTGCTCTTATCTAAAGATTATACTTTGGGAAAGCAGCTTCAAAGCAATTATCTCTGATACTTTTCCTGCAAGCTGAAGGACGTAAGGCTTTGCCATGGCTCCAAGAATCTATCCCACCTTCAGGCACTTGGAAAGTTAATTATACCACCTGTTGAACCTTGATAACCAGCTTCACATACTTCCAGTAAAGTCTATACAATACATGCCCCCCATAAAGGTACATACACTACCTTTACACAACCCTGTTCACTCAGTGGTGTCTTGACCTGTGGCAGACAAACACTGTATAGCAGAGTATATTTGTATTGTCTCTCCATCACCCTTTCTACTCTGAAAGATTGGCAAGTTCACATCTATTATTATACTATTTGTCTTCTTTTTAGTGGCAGACTCCTTTTTTTCCAGCACTGAAAAATGAAAGCTAAGGGGAGAACAACAGTCATGAAATGAGAGGGCACGTGAAACACAAACCAGTAACACTAGTGCTGCAATGAGTTTGACAGCCCTTTAAATCCCTTCCCAGGCAGATGAGAGCTGTTTCTCTGACAGAAGCTGCCATGTGACCCATTCCCATTGGTATGAGTCCTTACAATGAAACTGATCTGTCCCTTCCACCCAATTTTGCCGCTGGAACCCACATGTATATGTAGTTGAGTTATTTACATATTTCCCCATTGACACAAGAACTGTCCTTGAAAGTGGTTCATTCTGCTACAGTAAAGTGCTTAGAAGGCCCCTAAGAAACCATTGCTTAGAGGCTCGCCTGAGCAGATTTTAAGAGAAATGTACAATGGCTTTTCTTAAATAGCAAGGGAAGCATAGCTGAGAGAAAGCCTAAGAGCTTACCAGATTTATTTATTTATTTATTTATTTATTTATTTATTTATTTATTTATTTAAAACACTTCTATGCTGCCCCCATCACAACAAAGCCTCGGAGCGGCTCACAAAGAATACATAAAAACATACATAAATAATAATAATATAACAATTTAAAAGAAAAAAAACAACATTTAAAAACCCCCGGTGCATTCTCGGCTAAAAATTTTAAAATCCTAATTAATACAATAATTTAGCAATTAAAATAAGTTTTAAATAAAAATGTCTTAGCCTGGTGCTGAAAAGCAAATAACGATGGCGCCAGGCGGACCTCTCTGGGGAGCGCATTCCACAGATGGGGCGCCACCGCAGAGAAAGCCCTCCTCCAGGTACTCACCCTCCTAATATCATTCACAGAGGGTTCCCAGAGAAGGGCATCCGTTGCTGATCTCAAGGGGCGGGAGGGCATATATGGGTGCAAGCGTTCCTTTAGATATCCAGGTCCCAAGCCGTTTAGGGCTTTATAGGTCATAAGCAACACCTTGAATTGGGCCCGGACTTCAATCGGGAGCCAGTGGAGCTGACGGAGAACTGGGGTTATATGAGAATAATGTCCAGTCCCCGTCAGCAACCTGGCAGCTCTATTCTGCACCAATTGAAGTATCTGGACTGTCTTCAAGGGTAGCCCCACGTAGAGCGTGTTTCAGAAATCTAATCGGGAAGTTACCAGCGCGTGTGTCACTGTCGCCAGGCAGTCGTTCTCCAGGAAGGGACGCAGCTGATGTATCAGCTGAAGCTGAAGGAAGGCGCTCCTCGCCACTGCCGTCACCTGAGCTTCTAGAGACAGCTCAGGGTTGAGGAGCACTCCTAAGCTGCGAACCCTGTCCCTCAGAGGGAGTGCAACCCCATTTAGGACAAGGCCCAAGTCCCCCATCCCGAGTCCCGAACCACCCACCAACGGGACCTCTGTCTTGTCTGGACTGAGCTTCAGTTTATTGGCCCTCATCCAGCCCATTTCGTCGGCCAGGCACCGGTTCAGCACAGCCACTGCCTCACCTGGATTGGTGGAAAACGAGAGGTAGAGCTGGGTATCATCAACGCACTGATGATTCCGCAGCCCACACCTCCTGATGACCTCTCCCAGCAGTTTCATGTAGATGTTAAATAGCAAAGGGGACAAAATGGACCCCTGCGGAACTCCAGGGCATAACTGCCATGGCGCAGGGCCACAGTCCCCCAGCACCACCTTCTGAAATCAGCCATTGAGATAGGAGCAGAACCACGACCATGCGGTACCTCCAACTCCCAATCCCACTGGCCTATTCAGAAGGATACCATGGTCAATGGTATCGAAAGCCGCTGAGAGGTCCAGGAGAACTAACAGGGATGCACTCCCCCTGTCTCTCCCCCTGCACAGGTCATCGTACAGGGCAACCAAGGCAGATTCAGTGTCATACCCAGGTCTGAAGCCAGACTGAAATGGGTCCAGATAATCAGTTTCATCCAAGAGTGCTTGGAGTTGTCCCACCACCACCCACTCTAGCACCTTGCCCAGGAACGGGATGTTGGCCACCGGTCTATAATTGGCGGCCACCTCTGGATCTAGGGATGCCTTCTTTAGGACTGGCCGGACTACCGCCTCCTTTAAAGGGGCAGGTGCCTGGCTGTCTCTTAAAGAGGCATTGACCACCTCCAGGATCCAGGTCCCAATCCCGTCCTTGGCTTTCTTAAGTAGCCAAGATGGGCATGGGTCTAGTAAGCAAGTGGTAGGACGTACTTGTCCAAGCACCTTGTCCACATCATCAGGCTGCAACTACTGAAATTCATCCATTTATTATTATTATTATTATTATTATTATTATTATTATAACATTTCTATGCCGCCCCTTGCCGAAACCTCGGGGCGGCTTACAACACGATAAAATACAATGAAATACAATAGCACATAATAAATTACCATTAAATACTCGACGGTGTCGATGGCGTCTCCCCAGTAGAATCTGATTCAATAGCAGAGTCAAGCTCATGGCGAATCTGAGCGATTTTCTCCCTGAAATGCTTGGCAAAGCCGTCACAGCGGGCCTTCGAGGGTGGCACAAGATCTTTCTTCAGGCCCAGATTTATCAGCCCCTGCACCACCCGAAAAAGCTCCGCCGGACGACATTGTGAGGAGGCAATGGAAACGGAGAAGAATTTCTTCTTTGCCATCCTCACCGCCACAGCATAGGCCCAATAATGGGCTCTTAAGTGTGTTCGGTCAGAATCACCCCGTGATCTCCTCCACCTATGCCCTAGACATCTCCCAACCTGCTTCACCGCCCGTAATTCAGGTGTATACCAAGGAGATGAATGGGCTCTGTCAGGTGGGAGAGGAAGCTTGGGAGCGATCGTGTCACTAGCCCTGGTCATCTCCTCATTCCACAGTTCAACCAGGGCATCGACAGGATCACCAGCCTTGTCAACTGGAAAATCCCCCAGAGATTCCAGGAATCCATCAGGATCCATCTGGCTCCGGGAGCGGACCAATACAATCGGGTCCACACCCTTGCAGAGGGAAAGGCCGCTCTCGAGCTCAAACCTTATGAGGAAGTGATCTGACCATGACAAGGGCGTCAAGCTTAAATTCCTCACTCTCAGATCACCCTCTTCCTGCCCCATCAAGAAAACCAGGTCCAGAGTGTGTCCACGTTCATGGGTCGGGCCAATGAAGTGTTGAGGCAGCCCCATGGCCGCCATGGAGGCCATGAAGTCCTGAGCTGCCCTGGTTAGAACCGTCTTGGCATGGAGATTGAAGTCCCCCAGGACCAACATCCTGGGAGTCCTCAATACCAGGTCCGAGATGATCTCTGTCAGTTCAGGCAGGGAGTCTGTTGGGCAGAAGGGTGCACGGTATACCAACAGAATCCCCAATCTGTCTCGGTCGCCCAACACCAAGTGGAGGCACTCCAGCCCCGGCCTCGAGAGGACAGGAAGCCCCACAAGGGAAATAGAAGCTCGATAAACCAGAGCGACCCCCCTCCCCCCCCTCCAGGTGTGGTTGGTGCTGGACCAGGTACCCAGGCGGGCACAATTGTGAGAGGGAAACATCCCCCCCTCACCCTCCCAGGTCTCTGTGATGCACGCCAGGTCGGCCCTCTCATCCATGATCAAATCATGGATGAGTGTTGCCTTATTTTGGACCAACCTGGCATTAAGCAGCAGCACCGACAGGCCCGGAGGGCAGTTGACAAGTCTACCTGGAACCCGCCGGCTGGGGGAATAACCAGAACGAAGGACAGGTGTTAACCATCTGTCCCTCCTTCTTCTATGCTGACCCATTAGACCCCCAGTGCCATAACACCCATTGCCCATCACCACCCCGATGGTGGTAGCCCCGCGCTCCCCAGGCAACATCATAATAAAGCACGAGATGCACCAATTGAAAACAATCTAAAACCAACAATTAAAACCATTAAAACATCTTACTGTCCTCCACCTAGACCACCACTAGCCCACAAATAAATAAAACCAAACCACAGCCATAGCCCCTGGCCAGCCCAGC